TAAGCGCCACCTCACGCAGGCCAGCTCGACTTTTGGTTTCAACTTCAACATCGTACCGACCATCCGGTAACATGGTTGCAGCCCCTTTGCATGATAACGCGAACACGTTCGAATGATTGATCCAGGCAGCATGCCGGAGCTACAAAGGTGGAGGAGGTTCGTAGTGGAGAAAGGCTCGTGCCAATAAAACTGCATATCGCTGATCCGCAGCGAAGGCGCAGGCACGGTCAAAGGAGACATATACGGTGTATTGCTTGCTCAGGTCGGAATTGAACTCATTCAGACATGTTGTTCTGGAAATGTGTGTGCCATTTGGAGCTGAGCTACTTCATGATCTCATGCGAAACCTGCCCTTACAAAGATGTGCCATCAATCAATCGGGTAGTAATGGTAATGCAGCATTCGGGTGGATGGTAATGGTAATGGGTGGTGATACCTGCGCGCGTTGATGGAACAGCGCCACCAAATATTGAAGAGGAACATCCAGATTACACATATGTACTGCAGTAGGATTTGAGTGCTTGCGTTGGTACCGTGATTTCGCAAGGTTCGAAAGACGCGACACTTTTGTCCTAGATTATCCTTTCCAGGCTATATGTTGCAGGCAAGGTGGGAGAGCACGGCTGCTGCATGTGGCAGCGGTCACGCCGCGTAATTGTGGTGAACCTGGGCCAGGTGCGACCGATATCCCACGTGGCTTATCAATGAGCGAGTTTGGGCTCGGACCGGGCTCAGTGTCCCTGGACTTGGACCAGCCTGGCTCAGTGTCCCTGGGCCTGGATCAGCCTGGCCCAGTGTCTCTGGACCTGGACTAGCCTGGCTCAGTGTCCCTGGGCCTGGATCAGCCTGAATCAGCCAGTGTCCCTGGGCCTGAACCAGCATTGCTCAGTGTCTCTGGGCCTGGACCAGCCTTGCTCAGTGTTCCTGGGTCTGGATCGACCTTGTTCAGCGTCCCTGGGCTTCGGCTGACCTTTCTCAGTGTCCCTGGGCCTAAACCAGCCTTTATCAGTGTCTCTGGGCCTGCACCAGCCTTCCTTAATGTCGCTGAGTCTGGACCGACCTTGCTCATGTCCCTGGGCCTGAACCGGCCTTGCTCAGTGTCCCCGGGTCTGGACCGACCTTGCTCATGCTCGGCGTCCCTGGGCCTGGACCAACCTTTCTCAATGTCCCTGGTTCTGGGACGATCTTGCTCAATGTCCCTGGGTCTGGGACGACCTTGCTCAGTGTCCCTGGGCCTGGACCAGCCTTGCTCAGTATTTGACGAGCTCTCAGCAAACATCGCCCGCGATCCCTGGGGCAGCAGCGGTCGTCAGCAAGCAGCCATCCCTCATGGCAGCGGCAGACACTGGTGGCTCATCGACCAGGGTCGGTCCGGCGCCAGGCGCGGGGCTCCGCCGCCACCAAGCGCCGCAACGCACGGAATCACGGAAGCACGACAATCGTGATGACCACCCCACATCATCAGTCGTTACGGGCTGAATCACCCGTGGGAAAACGCCGCTGGTCCGGCCCGTTCATCACGCTAAACCGATTTTTCATGGCGTTCGCAAACAAACGACGATATTTCTACTCATCTCCAATGCTGGGTCGCAGGAGAGGTGACCAGAAACCATTACCGTGACAGATTGTTGGTCTACGTTCGCGGGCAGCGTCACTTGTCACTACGAATCAGAAGGCTGGCCAGCAGGGCATCATCTGTTGGCTGGTTATGCGATGCTATTCGCTTCCGGCGAACGGTGCGGGGCGAACGGTGCGGGTACAGATGAGCAGCCATATCACAAATAAATAAACAAGCTCCTCGATCTCAGGCCTGCTACTGGCGGATAGTCAGGCGATTGTTTCACGAACCGCCAAACCAGTCTCACACAAGTGTCGCATTGCTCCGACCACATCAGAACCGCGATTCATAGAAGTAAAGTGAAGTGAAGGGGAAGGTCGGCAAGTAAGGGCGAACAGAAGCAGGCAGAGCAAGCGTCGTCAGTGGAGTCCGGCAGCTGCGAGTGTGCTGCGCCGCTCTGCAGCC